GTACTTCCCGGTTCTCTCTTCTCCTCTCACCGGTGTCATTGCCCCGGAGCTCCGCCGTTATCTCCTCATCTCTCCCTCAACACCACCAACATGGCTGCCCCAGCTCCTGCTCCCCCGCCGCGACACAGAGTCACTCTGGGAGAGTCACCTCCACCTCCCGGGGAGGGGGGCGGGTGAACATGAGCCGCTCTCACTGCCCCTGCATCCATCACTTCTATCTTTTACCCGGGGGAGGCTGTTAAACTCTGGTTAGCGGGGATAGAGGCAGGTGTCAGCCGTGCCTCCTTCTCTCTCTCTCTCCTGCATCATGGCTTAATGGTAACTCGACCTCACAGGACCTTTCTAACGGGTCAGTTAGCGTCGATAACCGGACCCTGTCGGCACCGGCGTTCCCTCAGACGGGACGCTCCGGGTCCTGTCCCCCCCCCCAACCCCCTCAGTCACCCCGTACCCCCTCCCTCAGTGACTTACCGGCACCGGGAGGGCAGGTGGTGGTGGTGGAGGTGGTGCAGCAGACCGGGGCAGTTCCGACATTCAGCATGAACATTTTTTCCAGGGTGAATTATCTTTTTATTCCTTCCCGACCTCAGAATATCTTCCTCCCCGTAGCTGTCTCTTCATTCACGGTGAAAAAGTAGACAAAAAAAATCAAGGTTGAATTCGTTTGTTCAGCGACACCGAGGATGACGGGTCGGTCACCGAGCAGGGCAGATAGAGGTTTCCGCCTCCACTCTCTCTCGCTCTCTCTCCCTCTCTGCGCGCACTCGCGCGTGTGCATGAGAGTTTCACACAAATAAAGAAATGCTCTGTGTGTGTGTGTGTGTGAGGGAGAGAGAGAGAGAGTGTGTCCTGTTGACCACAAACCAGGACACAGGGTGAAGCCGAGGACACCCCCATGTGGTACACCAGAGTTTGGACCGACTAGTGGTACCATAGTGGGGTGCGTCGCCCCCAAGACACCACTGTAGTCTTCAACAGTTGCTGGGAGCAGTGAGATCAATTGATGACGAAATATTTAAATTGACACACTATATATTCTCTATGTATGGTGTGGGTATTTTCCCCATATATATATATATATATATATATGTGTGTGTGTGTGTGTGTGTATTCATATATATATGTATGTATATATATATAATATATATATATAAAA